CTACTGTGATCTTAACAAAGAAAGTGACCTTGAAGGACATGCAAATATCTTAAATGTAATTGGAAACATTGGCCTTTGAATTTTGATCAGGTCCACTTAGTACATATAAAAATCTAAGGAGACAAAACCTCTGCGGTTTTTAAAATATATTAGGTTGCTGGAAAAGCCATGATGTATTTTTCTGGGGTTTTTTGATGCAAAAATTCATCATGACTTTCCAGACAACCCAATAGTACATAGACCAGAGCAAGAGAGATTCTATACTTCTTTCCTCCTTTCCTCCAAAGCTCCTTCTTCCTGTCCACACTGCTTAAATCATCCATAAACTCTGTAATTTCTGAGACTACACATCTTTCCTTCTGCCACTTTCCTATGCACAAAACTTATTTCAGGGATCAACTCAGAAACTGGAGTGAATAGGCCAAGAGAGGCACCAAGAAGCCATAATTGCCCACTTATTACCCACTATCTATGTATCACCTATCCCCTGTGCATGGTGGCTGTGGCTTCTCACACAAATGGACTAGTCTAGGACCCTACAAACCAGTACGTTTCCAGATCTTCGAGCTATCAGTGTCAGAAAGGTATTTACATTATTCAACAGGAGACTCTACTTCCACTGCCAGCCTAGCCCACAAACCTCCATAAAGAAGTTAGTATGAATTCTGTGGTACACCTCTGGATTTGTTTAGACTCAGGCAAGGTGGTCAGCCTCTCAGTCCTGCACTGCTCAGGCAACTCCAGTTCTCTGAAAATGCATTGGGCAAAGAGGCTTCATTAGCATGACAGCAGCCACGATTACAAACAAAAGCACATGGAGGGTGAGGTTAGGGTGCCCAATAAAAGGGATTTGCTGAGATCTTGGCAGAAGGAGCACCAGTAGTGTCCACCAGAGGACAATCAAAACATTCTTTTTCTGTGTTCCAAACCACAACCAGATGTACTTATATATCATCACACATCACTCAGTAGGGTAATTGTAACAGTTTACTTGTCCATCTCCCATGGTAAACCAGACTGTTCACTGAAGCCCAGAGAATATGTATTCCCCACATAAATATAGCTAGTTTGGTGATTTAAATATAATAATGACTGCTAAGTTACTGCGTACTGAATGAATGACTATGAATTCACTTGTTAAAGAATGCTGACAGTGCATAAGATTCTTTGTATGGATAATAACTGTAAGGTCCACTAATACCTTTGTGAGACCAGTCCTAATGCGGTTAATTTTCTCAATGGAAATATCATTGCACAGGCAATAAATCATATCTGCTGGCTACATTCTAAAAGAAACTATAATGACCACATTGCATATCTTGCATTGCCTATGGAGGAAGTTATTACATTCAAATCCCACTTTCCTAAATGAAGAGAGTGGGTGCACCACAGTGCTTTGTATACCTTTTTGGCAAATTGTTGTTTAAAAGAGAACTGAAGGGGCCAGCAGGTGGCATGGTATTGGACTCCCACATGGCTGATTACAGTTCAAGTCTCAGACTCAGTAGCTTGAAAATCATGCTGGATGCTTATATGTGCACCCAAGATCCTAAGAGGATTTCTCACTTTCTCTCTTCCCATCTTTCTCCAGCAAGTACATATGCCCTATGGCAAAAATAAATAAATAAATATAAAAAGAGAGAACTGAATGTTAATAGATACAGGAGATTTTAATATTTTCTCAATAATACAAGAAACAGAAAGTCTTGAACTTTTTATTGTCCTTAAAATAATTGTTCACATTGTTTTACAAGTAGGGGAAGAAAATACAACCAAATGAATCTCAAGATGATCATTTAGATATCAAATGGATAATCTAAGAACATCTTTCTTCAAACCAGTAGGGTATTGCCACTGGCCATGAGAACGGTGTTGTATGAAGTAATCATATATTCTTCCACAATGTACTATGCAATTGAGGCATGATAGTTAAAAAAAAATCAAGGAAGAAGCCTATCAAATGCTAAGTGATTATAGAAATACTAATTGAATAAATATAGTTCAAAATGGGGTAATCTAGGGGGTAAAGGTTAATTCAAAAGTCGGTAGCCCAAAGCAGAGACTGCCTTTTCTGACTCTGGAATACTTGACAAGTGATTTCAAATCTCTGCACCTCCTTGGAAAGAGCATAACCTGTCTGGCAAGCTGCAGTTCCTAGTTGCTTCTTAGTGATGCTCCAGGGCTAAATAAGAGCAAATTGATGTGCTATGCTTTAAGCTCCATTGGGGCAAGGCACTAAATAAACTTCAGGATAATTTATGAAGCCTGAGCTTGCATTAGTCATGTCCAAGTCCATCTCGTAAAAGCCAGACTGGAAATAGGAGGCCATGCTGAGCACTCGGTAAAAAGCTTAACAAACTTTGGGCAATGATCATGAGCCCAAACAATACTACTTTTATACATAAAATCCTCTACTAATCTCAGAGAATTTCATTTAAAAAATTAAAAATAAAAACTAACTCCTTCGGATGCCCAGACAATAGCTCACTGGCAGAACATCTGGTCTATGAATCAGAGAAGTTATGACAGTCCTAGTCTGAGATCCAATATCTAATTTCCTTTTAATTTACCATGATTATTTTGTAAAACTTTATGGCTTCACTCCAATGGATGTGCTTAGCAAGCTTTGCCAAAATCCTGTCTTCTCTTCAGAGCCACATCCTTCGGCCAGCTTCTCCCTACCTTTTTGTTTTCCTTCCCTTATAGTTGAATTTTACCTTCTTCCTTCCACCACTTAATCAGCATCTGCATCTTTATCAAAAAGGAGAGATAAGACTGTAATTTGAAGGGTAAAACACGAGCACGTATTTGGAAAGCCAATCCTTCCAGGATATTGTTCTTGCTAGTGGTGGTGATTAAAGGTGATGATTTTGTTTTTTTGTTTAGTTTTGTGTTTGTTTGTTTGAATAATAGCCATCCTATCTATAACTTTCAGCATAACTGAGCTGCCTCAAGTAAAGTTAATCGGGGGCAAGGAACCCTGTCATCTAGAAACTGTAAGGGACCCAAATAATCACCAACCAGTTCTCCTAAACTGACAAGTGACTTAAAAATTTCTATTTCCAAAGTCATAATTCTATGCTTTTATCAAACACTTTCCCTGACCTGCAGGAACGTGTTTCCTTGGAGTTTTAAAAAGAAATTTAGAAGGAAAACACTATTTGTATAAGCACGACAAACCTCAGCTGATTTTAAATGTCCAAGTGACAGAATAAAACAAGGACTATCTTACATGTGGAAACCAAATCATAATGCTTACTCCAGAAAAAAGCCACATGCACTTCCAGCAGCTCAATATAATACAGATTGTTTTTAGAAATACAAACTAAGGTCACATTAAGTCATAGTTAGGAGGAAAAGGTAGCTACCCTTCAGAAGTTCATCCCTTTAGAGAGGAGGAAGTCAAGGAGAAAATCACTCTCCCTGGACTAAAGCGGTGTAATTGTTCTCCTCGGGATGGTGCCACTCCGTTTCTCTCCATTCAGAAGTTCCCATGGTTACAAAAGGACATAGCATACACTTATAGTTTTTAAAAAGGACGACAAATCACAGGGATGCAAAATGGCCTCCTCTGGTTAGTCTGAATTCGGCATCTTGCTACTGGGATTTTCCTATTGGCCCACTTAATACTTCATGTCCACTGAATACTGTTAAGCAGGTGAGGGATGCCTACTTTAAGAAACCAGAAATGCCAGGTAATCACTGTAATGCCATTACAATTTTATCCTACATAAACACACTAGTAAGAGAGAGAGGAGTTCATATAAAACAACAATGCTTTTCAAAGGATCAAAAACAGTGCCGTTCTTTTACAGACTCTTGAAGATGTGTGTAAAATTGACATTTTGGGGGCTATGCATGGAATTTTACACTGAGTCAATATGTTCTAAAATGTCTTCCATAAAGACATTTTTCAAAAAGTTGTGTTTTTGCTTTTGCCTTTATAAAGAGAGATAACATTAACTTTGCTGAAATGGAAGGGTGCTTTGCTCCCTCTTCAACATGTCTGTGTGCACTAAAGAGAAACAAAAGCCATTCTTTCTAATGGGGAATCAGAAATTTCTTTTCTGAGTGCCCATTCATTTCAGAACCAGGAGAATGCACCTATATGAGGGTGACGAAACAAACAGGAATCACGCTAAAGAAAAGTATCCAGCAGACAGAAAATCACTTAGATTCAAACAGACTAGATAAAATCTTGGAGATTTCATCTCCTGGTTTCTCCATTGTTGTATAGCTAGAAGTTTTTGCTTCTTCTGGAACTTAAAGCTATATCCTCTCTTTTTCTATCTGAAAAACTCAAATCCTTTTCTTAGTAACCTTACTGCTAGCTTTGTTCACACTGACTTGGACAGGGCAATCAGCTACATCAGATGAAAACTATGAGGCACATTTTCATTCCAATAGACTGCAAATCTGAAGGGAAGAACTTCATCAGAAATTGTAAAATGGAGATCCAACATATTTTTAATTTAACTACATTAGCAGTAAGAAACTCTGTGTAATAGCTGCCCATAAAATCGTACACTGCGTTCCACAGAGCAGCAAGACCTCCCTGGTATCCACACACATGTATACATCATTGAGGGTTACAAGTTTAATAGATTAATTTTTTTCTGAATACGTATCTATGTTGGCTCCCTTCAAAGCTATAGATCAAAATGGTATGTATGACTTAGCTGTGATTAACACACTAAAATTTAACAATTTCACAGACAGGGTTTTAACAGAAGTAGCTTAGGGATTTTGTTTTGTTGCTTTGGTTTTCTTAAGAAAAAATACGTGGTTTATTTCTTGCATTCCATTTTTTTAAGCTCTACAACTCTGAACAGATACTATTTAGATCCAAGCAGGTCATCTAATCAAATAATAGAAATTCATTAAAATAAACATCCTTGGGAGAATAGAGACCCGAAGCAGTGATTGATATGTGCTTAGTGCAGCCTCTGCTAGCGCTGTGCAGTTCTCTCAAGATGGTGGGACCCAGTGGAGCAGCTACCAGAGCCGGCAGGAGTCCATGCCTCTGTTCATTGTGGAATTGGGTGGACAGTTAAAAGCTTTCTGGAATTCTTCAAAGTTACTAATTGCACCATTGACCCTGGAAAAAGATATGTCAAAGCACATGTCATTTCATTCTTATATATCAATAGGTTCTGGATAATGCTGTGGCAATATATTGCTAGATGGGATTTTAGCATATTTATTTAACCTGTCTATAGGGAAAACAATGAAAGTCTAAAATGGTTAAGTAAATTTCCAGAAAAATTAACAGAGCTCACACTAGAACTAACATCTCCTGAATGCCAGGCAAATGCTGGGATTTACCCTTCCAACAGTCTTCAAATCCCTATAAAACTGTACCATCAATACTTTCTTTTTCTAACTTTTCTTAATTGACCTTTTTATGGAATGTACAACTGACATAAAGTGCTTAAATCTTAAAGATGAAATTGTCAATTTTTTCACGTGTATATACGTCTACCTTTGAGATCAAGATAGGATATTTCCTAAGTGTTCATCAAAAAATGAATGGAAAAGGAAAACATAACCTATAAACACATAGAAATACTATTTAACCATTAAAAAGGTATGAAATCCTGTCCTTTGAGGCAACATGGATCAGCCTAGAGGACATTATGTTAAGTGAAACAAGTCGAGTTCAGAAAGCAAAATATTATATATTGCATGATCTCATTTGCACATGTCAGCTGAAAAAAAATTGACCTCATAGAAATAGAGAGTAAAAAAATAAAAGAAATAGGGACCAGCAGTTGGCGTAATGGCTATGTCACTGGACTCCCACGTAGTCGACCGTGGTTTGGGTCCCGGACCCAGTGGCTTAAACTCACGCCGGGCGCGTGTGTGTGTGTGCCCAAGATCCCGAGAGGAGAATGGAGGAGAAGGGATTGCAGCATGGCCATCCCCCCGGGGGGGTGATTTCTCGCTTTCTGTCTCTCTGTCTCTCTCTGTCTGGCAAACGCACGTGCCTTATAGCAAAAAAACCTCTCCAAAAAATAAAAATAAAAAATAAAAATGAAATAAAATAAAAAAAATAGAGTAGAATAATGATTACAAGAGGCTGAAAAGAATAGGGGGAACACCTTGCTTAACAGCAACAAAATTACAGTTAGATAAGAAGAATAACTTCAAGTATTCTATAGCAAACAGGGTATCTATAGTTAACAGTGTGTTACTATGTATTTCAAGTCAACTAGAAGATTTTTGAATGTCACCAACACAAAGTAACAATTAATGTTTGAGGTGATGGATATGCTAATTACCTTTATTTGACACATTGTATTCATGTACTGAAAAAAAAAAATCACACTATACCCTATAAATACCTACAATCAATGTGTCAAAAGTAATTTTAAAAAGACGGAGACTATTTCCAGCACCCAGAAGTTTCCTTCATGTTCTTCTACTTATAGTACTGCCAAAGATAACTACTACTCTGACCTCTATTACCATACTTTTGCCTGTTTTTGAACTTCATGTGAAAGGAATCCACAGTATATACTCTTTCATCTTTGACTTTTTTCACTCAATATAAAGTCTACAAGAATCGTCCATGCAATTGCATTTCCAATTATTTTTTAAAGCATTCACTGAATCTTACAGAAAACACTTTCTCTAGATTCCTGTTATGTTTGGAAATCATATCTACCTAGAATTTCATTAATGTCACAAACTACTGGTGAATGGTGTCTAGTTATTCCCAACGAGTAAATTCTTCACTGGAGTTAGCTCCAAAGTCAGATGTTCTTGCAAGTTCCCGACTGCAGTAATAACTACAGATTCCTACCCAGCACTTTGATTTTTAACTGTCTTTTGGAAGTGGTATTTCCATTGTGTGATTTCCACTGCACTCAAAATCTATAGTCAACTGCAGACATCAGTAACAAGCCAGGCAAAATTCTGTCCTCATCTATTTCTTATTCAACTGTGTGTTCAAAGGTTTGACTAGAGATTCAGCGTTCTCAGTCGCTGACTATTTCATCCCTAATGACTTTGCTACCTACGGGCATTTGAATGAATGTAATGGCCTATATCTTAAAAAAAAAAAAAAATCCCTCATAACCTCTTGTGTTTTAGCTAGAATGTATGGAGAGGGATGCATATTTCATAGTGGGATTCACCCTAGGCAAGTGTTAAAGGTAGAATAAAGTTGATAATTAGTAAGGATACTCTGCAAATTATCAGCTAAAATCCAACATTATAGGCAACTAGTTAGTAAAAGGAAATTAGTTTCTAAAAACTTATCTGTTGAGTAATTAATCTACTGTGTGGTTTCATCTGCACCATTTGTCAGTGGGAACACATTTTAGTCCATTAGAGACTGTCAGCCTTCACGACAGTTTAGCCCAGTGGGGAAGAATTTCCAACACAGTGATTAGATTTTTATGCTAGTGGGTAATTTATAGTCAATTTCTGAAGCATTTCTAAGGCAAGGTTATAGGAATAAGACTTTTAAATATAGGAGAAATTTCAGATGACTTTCCTGCAATACACTAATGGATTCATTTAAACACCAAATATACAGCTATCCAGGTATAATATGTTCTAAGCCAATAATGAATAAATACAAATTCTTATGGTTTCTTAGGTTTTGCATGATAGTTCTGTCCTCTGCTATCAAAAATTTCTCTCAAATTACAGAACCTCAGACGAGGTAAGTAATATCAACTGTAATTTTATTTTTACTTAATATCTGATATATTCTGACAATTAAATAAGATTATAATCCAAAACCTCCTCTCTTCATGTATAAATAATTGTTTCAAAATATGATTCAAGCTAGAAGACAAAACATAGTATCCCTGACTCTAGATATGAATTATATTTGTTAAATATTGCCCTATAGCCTCCTTTATGTTCAGAGTTATTCAGAAAATAATCATTCGTTCATGTTTGTTGGTTGATTGTGTGAAAGACCAAGAGGTATTAAATATGATAAAATAAACCAGAAGTCTAGGTATTTCAAGGCAGAGTACATCACATTGCATCCTTTTCTAAGATAATAAAAACTGGTTTTTGGTCCAGACCAAAAATATATAATAAAATAGGTGGTTGGATAAATTAAATGTTCTGGTTTTCTAAGCATCTACAGTGCTCAGGACACCCATGAATTGCTGCTTTTCAAAACCTGGAAGATAGTGAATGGAATTTAATACTAAAGCTATGGTTTGGACTTTAAATTATCTCTAGATTCTTGTACAGTCTCATAGCCCTCTTCATACAGCACTAAACTAGACGTGTGTGTAAGTGCCCCAACAGGAATTTAAGAGAATGCTGACTAAACTAGCTTAATCCTAATGAAAGAAAACATGCTTAGTTTCTGTTTGGCCACATTTGTTTGTCTGTAAAGTGGAGCTCACACAGTTTACAACACAGATTTTTGTTCTGAGAGCCTATTTGATAGTGCCCTGGACTGGCTAGGTAGGGGAGGAAGTGGAGAGATACACAGTTCCAAACTGATGGCATTTGCCCATTTACCTAAACTGAGGGGGACTGTGAGCACCAATTTGGACTTGTTCTCGGGCAGCTTCTGGTCTGTAGGAATTGCACCTTACCTAGAAGAGAAGAGCACCCCAATAAAAACATTTGTATTCCATATATACATTTTCTACTTTCTTAACTGTTCCAAATTATTCTGGAGAATCATTTAAAAATCAATGGATGATACTTTTAGGAAGTAGATCAGATAAAACTTTCATCAGCAGTAACATTATTCTAATCTCCAGCATAGAAGGTTTTATCAGCATGACTAATTCCACAATTTGAGTAAATTAGAAAAGTTTTGGGCTATCAAGTGGTGTGGTAGTTAAGGCGGCTGGATACCACATGACTGACTGTACTGTTTGAGTCCCAGACCTGGAGGCTTGAAAAAGATGGCAGGCACATGTGTATGTGTATGCCCAAAATCCCAAGAGGAGAATGGAAAAGAGGAGAAGGGATTGCAGCACGGTATGGCCAGCTCCCCTGTGTGTGTGTGTGGGGGGTGATTTCTCACTTTCTCTTTCTCTGTCTGTCTCTAACTCTAGGAAGCACACTGTAGTAGAAAGTAAAGGAAAAAATAGAAATAAAAAAGAGACAAGTGCTTTAAGTCAAGAGAATCATATATGTGCCCAGGAATCAACCAATGCATTTCAATTAATTTAATGTTTGAAATAGCTCTTATCAAATTTAACCATATCCATGCAAATCAATAAAATTAATCACCATCCACTATTGAACATGGTCCAGAGAAGTTGGTATTTCACCTTAAGTGCCTTGCAGACCTTCCTCTAATCCAAGCCTAGGACAAGAATACACTAGAATATACTCCTTTAACTCCTTTGACATTAGGCGTGGCTATTTGACTTGCTCTGGCCAATGAAATGTAAACAGAAGTGATACATGTCACTATGTCACTTCCTAGGAAAAGGTTTTTTTTTTTTTTTTGGAGAGGTTTTTGCTATAGGGCACATGTGCTCGTCAGACAGAGAGACAGAGAGACAGAGAGACAGAAAGCGAGAAATCACCCCCCAGGGGGGATGGCCACACCGCAATCCCTTCTCCTCCATTCTCCTCTCAGGATCTTGGGCACGCATGCACACGCACCAGGCATGAGTTAAGCCACTGGGTCCAGGACGCAAACCACGGTAGACCGCATGGGAGTCCAGCAACATAGCCATTACGCTAACTGCTGGTCCTATAGGAAAAGTTTTTTTTAGAGAGAGATTTTTGCTATAGTGGTGCATATACATGCCAGAGAGACAGAGACAGAAAGTGAGAAATCACCCCCCAGAGGTGATGGTCATGCTACAATCACTTTTCTTCCATTCTCCTCTCAGGATTTTGGGCATGCACGCACACCCGAATTTAAGCCACTGGGTTCAGGACTTAAACCACAGTCAACTAAGTGAAAGTCCAGCAACATAACCTTTACGCCATCTGCTGATCCCTCTAGGAAAAGTATTAAGAACCTTAAAAACAATTTAAGCTGCAATATTAAGGGCCAGTGCACATTTCTCCATAGCTTTCCTACTGCTCTGGTGACTATGGATGCACAAGTCAAGATAAAGACTCAAATCCCAGGTTCCTGAGCAAAAACTATGACAGAGCCCCACTATTGACCCACATTGGACAGGGAACATGAACAAGAAATAAATGTTAGTTGTGTTGTTTATTTTTTAAAAGTTTCCTTCTTTCACAAGAGAGATATACAGAGACAGAGAGAGAGATAAGCACCCCCAACAAGGGTCTCACTGCAAACCACCATCTCCATAGTCTTTCCCAGCCAGTCAGGATCATGGACATGTGTACATATGCCTGGCATATCCAGGTAGATCCAGAAACCAAACCCTAGTCTTTCAGATGGCCACCTACTTAATCCTGACTTGAAGTATGTCTTAAAATATTAACAGAAGCAGGACACGTGAATATGGGGGAGAGGGATATCCTAAATGGAAAAAGAGTTTAGAGCAAAGACATGTTTGAGGGGGAAAAAAGGACATTTAACTTTCTAGAATGCTTTATACATAATGGGCAACCAGGAGAGAAAGAGGAAGGTACAAGGTTTCTGAAGTCCTGAACAATGGGCCGAAGTGTTTAAACTATATTTAATATTGGTTTTGAGCAGGAAAATGATAAAATCCATATTTTAAAAATATTTATATGGCAGGGGTATACAATAGAGGAAATTAGAGACTAGTTAGAAGATCGTTTTTGGGACCAGCAGTTAGAGTAATGGCTATGCTGCTGGACTCCCGTGTAGTTGACTGCAGTTCACGTCCCAGACCCGGTGGCTTAGAACTCACGCCGGGCGTGTGTGCGCGCGTGTGCGTGCATGCCCAAGATCCCAAGAGGAGAATGGAGGAGAAGGGATTGTGGCGTGGCCATGGCCCCTGGGAGGTGATTTCTGGCTTTCTGTCTCTCTATCTCTCTCTGTCTGTCTGACAAGCGCACGTGCCCTATAGCAAAAACCTCTCAAAAAAAGAGATCATTTTTCATCACTGAATGAATGTGAATTAGATAAGTAGAAAGCAGAACAGAAAGTAGAAGGATGAGAAGAAATGTATGGGTCACAGTAACTATAGGAATAGAGGAGGTAGGAAAGGTGATATGAGGCTATTGCTCTTGATGGAGATAAACTGTGTCACTGTGGTTTTAAATTTGACTTTGAAGATGGTTTTGTAATATAATTTCTTAATTTCTTCAGAAGCTAGATAACATGAATTTGTTTGTGGCATTTATTTTTACCTCATTTATCCTTATATCATTCCTTCTTATATTCTTATACTATTATATAGTATTATCTTTGCCTCACATATCATTTAAGAGATTTCTAAAAATGCATTATAGTTGTTACAGTTTTCCTAGTACCTTCCCAGGAAATAAAAAAACTTTATTCCCCATAAGAAGACTTATTCCAATGTGCAAAAGATTAAAAATCCCCTCATCCTATCAATGGGAAAGGGTCCAAGATAAATTTCTCATGAGTGATATAAAATAGCTTTACAATATTTCCCCAAATCTCTTTTAGTTTAAAATAAGTCATATGTGGTTAGGTATTATATTTGGAAACATTTCAAAATTATTATTGCAACATCACTTTCAATTAGTTTATCTCATCTACAAAGAGATATTGTGGACAAGGATGTAAATAGTAAGAACTAGTGAACCCTTGAATTTTGTCCTCTAAAGCGCAGGTCAGCAAATGTTTTCTATAAAGAGACATGTAGTAAATATTTTAGGCTTTGATGACTGTACAGATTCCATGTCAACTACTCAACTTAGCCATCGTAGCACAAAACCAGTCACAAACAATGGATAAATGAAAGAGTGCATCTGTTTTCCAATAAAGCAATACAGGCACTCCTCACTTAACACTGAGTTCTGTTCCAACAACTAGATCATTAAGAAAATTGGTCGATAAGCGAGGAACTTAAAGGTGGATGTCTTGTGCTGTGTCATGGTGCCATCAGGTATTTTACTAGATATCATTGACATCAAACTAGAATAATGTAATTCTGTCCATATAAAAAGCATACTTGGGCTAAGCACTAGAAAGCAACATGACACACAACACAATAGTATAAATGTGGCCTAATTGTGTTTATATATTCAGAATCCTATTATGAGTGCACAATAAAGTACAAATTTATAAACAAAATATGTATTCTTGCATGTTTGAAAGTACTTTGCATAGTGAATATTAACCAACTGCAGGAAAGAGCCAAAGACAGAGAAAGGGGATTTGTGAGACTCACGCAGACTGAGAAAGGCAACTCCCCATGCTAGAGAACTGGTGATAAGTCTGAGTGGTCATTAAACAGTTAGGTTGTTGAATGAAGAATGGCTGTATTTACAAGAACAGACAGCAGGCTATATTTGGCCCTAATTTGCCAACCCTAAATCTAGAAAATTCTAAATACTTTTTTGGTGTGTTCTTTTAGCTATCTGATCTAGTACTGACCCAAAAGGAAATTTCCTTAGCCTATGTTAGTCTTATCCTTTTTGAGCAATTGAGCTAAAAATATCAAGTGTCTTTAATATACTCAGCATCTGTTCAAGTAATTGATCTAAAAATATCAGTGTCTTCAATATACTCCAGTATCTATGGTAATACATAAGTGTTAGGATACTAAAGATTAGCCGTGGAGATAAAACTGAAAGTCTTGAACATTTTGAGAGTGATTAAATACTCAACTGCATGGTATAGAAAGTAAGTGTAAAAAGGAGTTGGATATAAAATAATGAGGACTAGAGTTCTTAGGGAATAATTTAATGAAGGCAGCATTGAAGATTCTGAGGAGAGAAGAGCAGGAAAGGGGTCTAGTAAAAGCAGAATCAGAAGAAAAGCCAGAAAGATAGAAAACAGACATGACATTGTGAGCTAGAGGTGAAGATTCTTTCCTGGATGAGTTTTTCTCATCCAATGAAATGAGAAAACAGTGGGACATTAAAGTTAGTTGTGTGGAGGTAGATCAGACTAAGAACTTTGGGAGCCAAATGAAAGTATTTGGCCTAAATCAGGTAGGCATTTGGGAGCCACTGTAGTTGTTTTGGCAGATCAGTAATGAAATACAAGTGGTATTTCAGTGTCACACAAGTAGTAAAAGATGCTAAACTCAAGAAAACATACCCTAGGGACCAGCAGTTAGCATAATGGCTATGTCGCTAGACTCCCACATAGTCAACTGCGGTTCGTGTCCCAGACCCAGTGGCTTAAAACTCACGCCAGGCGCGTGTGCGTGCGTGCCCAAGATCCCGAGAGGAGAATGGAGGAGAAGGGATTGCGGCGTGGCCATCCCCCGTGGGGGGTGATTTCTCGCTTTCTATCTCTCTGTCTGTCTGGCGAGTGCATGCGCCCTATAGCAAAAACCTCTCCCAAAAAAAAGAAAGAAAGAAAGAAAGAAAGGAAGGAAGAAAGGAAGGAAGGAAGGAAGGAAGGAAGGAAGGAAGGAAGGAAGGAAGGAAGGAAGGAAGGAAGAGAGAAAGAAAGAAAACATACCCTAAAGCTGTTGGAATAATCCAGAGTAGAAGATATCAAGGATTAATCTACAATGATGACATAGGGTAATGGGGATGTTATAGGCCGAATGATTGTATCCCCCCAAAATTCATAAGTTAAAACCTTAATCCCAATGTGACAGCATTATAAGGTAGGGCTTTAGGAAGTGAGGTCATCAAGGCAGAGCCCTTATGAATGGAATTAGTGCTCTTAGAAGAGGCCAGAGACCTAACTAGCTCTTTCTGCCATGTGAGAACACAGTGAAAAGCAGGCCTCCTAGAAATTGGAAGAGGACCCCCACCAGAACTCAACCATGTTGGCACTCTGATCTCAGACATTTAGTCTTTAGAACTGTGAAAAATAAATTTCTGTTGTGTATAAGCCACCCAGTCTACAGTTCTTTATTAGAGTAGCCTGAAATGCCTAAAACAGGGAAGAAGGAGAAGTGGAATCTGAAAAGCATTTAAAATGATGGAATATTTAGCTTTGGGGATATATGCTATAAAAATGAAGATAGATAAATCAGATAATCCCTAAAAATCCAGACTTTCCAGCCAGGAAGACTCAAAGACAGAGAGTATATCAAAAGAAATAGTGAAACCAAGAAGGGATATCATTTTGTTGATAACTACAGTTTTGTTTATATCAGGTTGATAAACAATCACTTATTTAGTGTTGCAATGTCAGTTTTATGAAACAAAACATCCCGACAGTTGAAAATTGTTTGACCAGTTCCCTATAGACCTGGGAATGAATTAGCCTACTGAAGAGTGACTGTAAGCATTTAGGAACAAAAGGTTGTACCCTATAGGGTGAATGTAGTGGGATAAAGTAAGAATAAGGCAAAGCAGGAGAAATGTAGGAAAGGACAAGGCCGTGAAAACCAAAGAATGAGTTACTAGAAGTGGTTATAACAGTATCACATACATTAAGAAGTCCATATGTAGTGAAAAACTATCAAGTGAGTTACCATAGGATAAAAAATAAATCAATAAACCTTGATTTGATCAGCTAATTATTTATGCCCCATAGAACATTAAGAAGGGGAAATTTATCCTGAAAATTATGAACAAGATAAAACTGTGGCTAAAATCAAAGTGACGGTGTTAACTTCTGTTCCAAGCCTTTGGTCAAGGGAGCAAGCTAAAGCCACATATTTCTTCATCAATTCCCCTTTCCTTTCTACTCACATGAGCATAACTCAGGAAGAAGAGCTGGTTGTTGGTGAATGTGATGCCTGGTAGGAGAGGCTCCTCGACTCCCTGTCTTCTGTCATTTACCCATTTCCTGTAAGCCTAGTGAGAGAAGCAGCACAGATGAGCCTCTGCCACGATGCTTTTTAGCTTTTCTCATCTAGCACAGAGATAATAAATATACATTACTGCCATGTGCAAAATGCATCTTGTCAAGTTTTCCTTTAAGAAAACAAACAACTGGAAATGCAAGTCAATGTCCTATTGCTTAACAGTGTGGCTGGTGCACCTGCAAAGAGATCTAAAACTCAACAGATACTGAAGCAGCTGGGACAAAATGTTCAGATACTAAATAATTCTTTAAAAAGCTGCTCTTTCTTTGTCCACCAAGGAACAAAATTTTTTTTTAAATCCACAATGGTAAGGCCCCTAAATTTTGGGTCAATATATTACCATGTTTTTTGTATTGCCAAGTAAGATGCAAACCTATCATTTTGTATCAACTTCATTGTATAAAATAAAGAATATTTTAACTAGAGTACAAAAAGGGTATAACCTAGGAATAACAGACTGGTCTTTAAATTAAATTCATTTAGCTTTGTGAAAATCTTTCCACATTATCTTTTTGTTCCTTGTTTAACAATAGAGTAGTGGATGATGAAAATGTTATTATACACTCTAACCTGGCCTGGTATATGAGAACCACTAGCCTCTGGCCATAATTTAGAAGTTCGGTATTTTAAGACAAAATTACAAGGAGTGCCATAGAAAGAGCTGTGCTCAAAGAAAACTCATATGACCCTAACCCCTAGGAGACTTCCATAACATGCTTTGATATGAGTATGAATGTACTTTCTGAAAATTATTCCTTAAATATATGATTCTTAATAACAAATATTATTCTTTATGGTGACTTTACACCCACCCTCAAAAAAGAAAACAATGCAGCTCTATGGTACTCCATAATGTGCTCTATATACTCTATAATAGAGTGGTCACTGGGTAAATACAATTCTACTTACAGAAATTCCATACCTAACTCCTCAAGAACATGTCTATGGTACAAATTGAGGTGTATCTGTATTTATATGGTGTCTTATAGCCCCCCCTTTTTTTTTGTAGATATTTGCCATAGGGCACATGTGCTTGCCAGAGAGCAACAGATAGAGACACAGGAGGAGGGAAAGTGAAAAATCACTCACCAGAAGGGACAGCCAAACTGCAACTCCTTCTCCTCCACTTTCCTCTCAGGATTTTGGTCATGCACACACATGTACTCAGCATATTTTTCAAGTCACTGGGTCCAAGACTCAAACCACAGACTCAGCCTTGTGGGATCCAGTGCCTTAGCCACCACATCACCTGCTTGCCCCAATTTTTAAAAGCATAGGAAATGTACCAGTGCATACCCTAAAAGCTTCCCTCAGGCCTCCATTATCAGCAATATTTTCTCCCAGGGTCCTTTTCCCTTTCACCTAACAAAAAGAAAAAAGAATGTTTTGCGGTCAACTATCATTCTACAAGAGGCATAAATATTATAACAAGCAAAAGAGTCATATTTTTGAAGGGAAAATTACGTTCCATAAATCAGAGGTAGTCGTAATCTATTAAGAGATGGCAAACTAACCCCATTAAGGTGCTCCTGAATATAATAATTCCTATTTTATTATACCACACATTTCTTTCTCACCCACCTCTTTATTCTCACAAATTTAGCCAGCTCCAATAAAATGTTAACAATATACTGAATGACTCTATTTTAATGGCAAAAAAATAGAAATGTCGCTATTCAGATTACTATCTGATTAACTCACATAATTGGAATATTCTTCTCATTGTGCCTGTGTTTCCAAAAAATTGCCATCTACACAGGAATAAGATTTCAAGACCAACAATCATCATTTTACCTTCAGCTACTTCCATGAAAAATTAAAAGGAGAGGAGTTCTCGTGGGGAACAAAAATCAAATAGAAGTAGTGCAGACCACAAGGTCGAGGTTTGCAATATGTATGACAACCAGTCAAGCGTGGTACAGAAATTCTTTGCAACATTTGAAGATTATTTCTTAAAACCTTAAATGAGCTAGGATGAAAATATTCTAAGCCAATATATCCCAGAAGCCAAATCCAACCTGCCACCTGTTTTTCTTATAGGCTCCAAAGTAAGACTGGATTTTACATTCTTCAGTGATTTAGGGGGAAAAAATCAAAAAAAAAGGAATAATATTTTGTGGCATATGAAAATTATATGAAATTCAAATGTAAGGTCCTAAATCAAGTTTTATTAGAATACAGCCATGCCTGTTCACATACATATCACCTGTGGTTGCTTTTTTGCTACAATGGCAGAGTGGAATAGTTGCAACAGAGACCATACACCCCACAAAGCTTACATTGTTTACAGAAAAGTTTGCCAAGTTCTCTATAGTAGGTAGAATAATGGCCTCGCAAAGATGTCTGTGTCCTAATCCCTGGAACTTGTGAATATGTTATTTTACAATGACAGTAGAGACTTTAAAGATGTGATTAAGGATCTTGAGATGGAAAAAAATTGGCCTGCATTATCCAGTAGGGCCAATATAATTAAGAAGGCTGTCATAAGAGGAAAAGGGCGATGAGGAAAAGGAAAGTATCAGAGTGATGCAACCTGACAAGCTGCCATGGCTAATGCTGGCTTTGTACAAGGAAGAGACTATTGGCCAAGGAGTACAGGTGGCCTCTAAAAGCTAAAAAAAGATAAGCAAATATACTTTCTGGAGCCTCTAGAAAGTGTACAGAGACCTGCTGACACCTTAAGTTTAGGTCACTGAGATCTGTGGCAGACTTCTGACATATAGAACTGTATGATAATAAATTGGTGGTGTTGAGGCATAAATATTATAACAAGCAAAAGAGTCATATTTTTGAAGGGAAAATTACATTCCATAAATCAGAGGTAGTCGTAATCTATTAAGAGATGGCAAACTAACCCCATTAAGGTGCTCCTGAATATAATAATTCCTATTTTATTATACCACACATTTCTTTCTCACCCACCTCTTTATTCTCACAAATTTAGCCAGCTCCAATAAAATGTTAACAATATACTGAATGACTCTATTTTAATGGCAAAAAAATAGAAATGTCGCTATTCAGATTACTATCTGATTAACTCACATAATTGGAATATTCTTCTCATTGTGCCTGTGTTTCCAAAAAATTGCCATCTACACAGGAATAAGATTTCAAGACCAACAATCATCATTTTACCTTCAGCTACTTCCATGAAAAATTAAAAGGAGAGGAGTTCTCGTGGGGAACAAAAATCAAATAGAAGTAGTGCAGACCACAAGGTCGAGGTTTGCAATATGTATGACAACCAGTCAAGCGTGGTACAGAAATTCTTTGCAACATTTGAAGATTATTTCTTAAAACCTTAAATGAGCTAGGATGAAAATATTCTAAGCCAATATATCCCAGAAGCCAAATCCAACCTGCCACCTGTTTTTCTTATAGGCTCCAAAGTAAGACTGGATTTTACATTCTTCAGTGATTTAGGGGGAAAAAATCAAAAAAAAAGGAATAATATTTTGTGGCATATGAAAATTATATGAAATTCAAATGTAAGGTCCTAAATCAAGTTTTATTAGAATACAGCCATGCCTGTTCACATACATATCACCTGTGGTTGCTTTTTTGCTACAATGGCAGAGTGGAATAGTTGCAACAGAGACCATACACCCCACAAAGCTTACATTGTTTACAGAAAAGTTTGCCAAGTTCTCTATAGTAGGTAGAATAATGGCCTCGCAAAGATGTCTGTGTCCTAATCCCTGGAACTTGTGAATATGTTATCTTACAATGACAGTAGAGACTTTTAAGATGTGATTAAGGATCTTGAGATGGAAAAAAATTGGCCTGCATTATCCAGTAGGGCCAATATAATTAAGAAGGCTGTCATAAGAGGAAAAGGGCGATGAGGAAAAGGAAAGTATCAGAGTGATGCAACCTGACAAGCTGCCATGGCTAATGCTGGCTTTGTACAAGGAAGAGACTATTGGCCAAGGAGTACAGGTGGCCTCTAAAAGCTAAAAAAAGATAAGCAAATATACTTTCTGGAGCCTCTAGAAAGTGTACAGAGACCTGCTGACACCTTAAGTTTAGGTCACTGAGATCTGTGGCAGACTTCTGACATATAGAACTGTATGATAATAAATTGGTGGTGTTTTTAAGCTACTAAATTTGTGGTCATTTGTTATGACAGTAACCAGAAACTAATACACCCTGCTCTAAACCATCAAACCATAGATCCTACCAACTCTTTACTTTTAAGTTAGCCTAGTCATTCAGGTATCAAGAAACTAATGAATAAAATCAAATTTTCAGAAAACATTATTCACTGTAATCACCCAGAAATTTCCCACCCTCAATCCCCAAAAGTTACCATTCCGGCTTCACATACATTCTTTCTTTTATGACAGGCCTACAAGGTAAGTGCTTTTATCACCTTCCCATTTAACAAATTATCTAAATCTCAGAGTGTTGGTAACCCTGAAAGATCCCCTTTTATATTTCCCTTTCTACCAGGACTGTGCACCCATTCCTGCAATGTTAATAGCTCAGGAAGATTAAACTTCATGAATGGGAGTCACCTCGTCTGGAGATGACTAGGAAGTTATACTCCACCTTCCAATAACTGACTGATGTGCAGCTGAAATAGTCTGGCCCCTTATCCCTGGACCAAACAGTTTCTATGCTCCAAATTCTCAACGCTTCAGAATCTAAACTTTACCTACAAGGATCCTATTTTCTTCATTTTCTTGTGTTTCTCTTGAAACTACTTCCTCAATTCATCACTGACCTAGGAAACCCCTTTTGGGGCTCTCCTCCCAGTGAATCTGACCTAAAACAGAGTGATTAAGTAAACTCCTTACATTTTACAGGGATTAAAACCCAAGAAGTTTTCTGTCTCCAGAGCCTTTACTCCATAATATGCAGCAAGTCTCACCCTCTCTTGGCCCCTGATGCTTATGCTTATATACATTCCGGCTTGAATTTAATCTCCTTCCTTTTTACTCTTAACTTTATATCTTAGCTTTTGGAGTAGTCTTGCCCCCCTGGCCCCTCACACCCTGGACCTCCTCAGCAGACCACATAGCCCTAGGTTTGTTCTCTCAGGATTCAACAGCTGTTGACAGTCTTCTGTGATGCCCTACCTGAACTCCTCCCAATTCACTGCAAAGAAAGGTCTGGGCAAGAGGACTGACTCCCACAAATGAAGAAACATAAAGCATGGTCCTTTATAGCCACAAAAGAAGCCACCCACTCGCCTGTGGGAATGAAACTGAAGATGTTTTCTGATGGTTGAGTGGATTTATGCTGAGACAGGCATGCCCTTTCTGTTGTCCTTGTGACAAAGGTACACATTTGTCAGAATTAAGTTTCAATATCTGACACTTTGGCCAAAATGGATGCTGGAGAGTAGTCTACCCACACATCATCTAAGTATAAAATGAACTTAAAATTAAAGAGCCAGAAGATGATGTAAAGGGAAGAGTACAGATTTTGGAGACATACAAATCTAAATGCTAATCTAGACTCTACCATTGTTTACCTGTGCTATAAACAGAACCTAGGTGACCAGCTGGTGGTGTGATGGTTAAGGCAGCTGGATCCCACATGGCAGCTTGGAAGACATGACATGTGTGTGCATATCCAGACTCCTGAGAGGAGAATGGCACGGAGTCTATGTATGTGCCCAAAATCCTGAGAGGAGAAAGAGACAGAGGAGATTGCAGCATGGCTATCCCCTCAAGGGTGTTTTCTTGTGCGCTCGCTTTCTCTTTCTCTCTTTCTCTCTCTCTCTCTCTCTCTCCTGCACATGTATTATAACGAAATTACAAAACAAAACAAAAACCAGATCCTATGAAAACAAACTAATGTTTAGGACTGTGATTCTCAAACTTTATCTTGTATCAGAATCACCTGAGGGCATGTGAAGAGACAGCCTGCCAGACTACCAGGCCACCTCACCAGGCCACCCCTAGGGAGTCTGATACAGTAGCTCTGGGATAGGACTCAAGAACTTTCATGTCTAACAAGTTCCCAAGTAAGGGAAATGCTGTTGATCTTTGAAGAACACTTTGAGAACCAAAGTTAATGTCCAAATGAGAAAAAAAAAAATGGCCCATGTGATGCCCCCTTAACCACAGCTGTACTCACATTTAAGCCAGCTTTCTTCCAATAATAGTTGCTATATTGGTTAACCATGCACTTGGTTTTTTCTTTAAACTTTTCTTCTGAGTCAATAGACCACCAAGGATCCAGGTTTCCATTTTTATCATATTTTCTACCTAGCAAAAAGGAAAGTTAGAACATTATATTATTTATGGAAACTAAATTCTTCATCTTTCCTTTCCTCACCTTGACAAGCCTTCGAAAAGCAGTCACACAGAAGGTAACACTTCCTGAGAGTAGCTCCTGCAGTTCTGGCCAATATCATAGGTTAATTGTAAAGGGGTGGGGGGAGGAGGGCAGGGAGTGGGGGAAGGAATGAGGAAGTTCTTTCCTTCTAAGGAACAAAGAACATTTAAAAAAACGAGATTCATCAATTTATCACATACACCAGTCTTAACCAATCTTGGATTCTGTGTTTTTACCTGATCTGACCCAAAATGTTCTCTGGATTATGAAATAAAAATGGCTGCCTTCAGACAGCCCACGAAGGGAATTGGAGCATCACTCCCAGTGAAATTCCAAATGATCCATAGGAATTGCCCAGTGAGTCATCCACAATGTGCAACCACCGACCTGACTCCGCCCTATCAGAAGCTGTTTCCTCTAAGTTGCCAGAAGCCCAAAGACACCTAAAACCTCTGTTATGAATCATCCTGCAGCTATCAGTGTGGATGGCAGACCCATCTGTCCTGCTTAGACAAGGAAGGTTGCTCTAAAAAGAGAACTTGGAATAAGAATGGAAATCTCCAAAACTTAGTTATACATGCTTTCTTGCCACATGTTCAGCCTTCATTTTTCTCTATACCCTTCAAAACAAAAGTTTGGTATATCTAGACTATATTCTACATTCAAGGTTACTACTGGAATCAGAGTCATGGTTTAAATGTAATTATACAGAGAACTCTTCATTGAGCTTACAATAAAGTTCCCTAAGTGAAGGTATTAACTGTAACAATACAATGTTCTTCAACAAGGATGTGTGCTACTAACACCACTCCTTGTGAGATTTGTAATGAGTGCCTACCATCCACTTATGAAGCAATCATTAAATAGTTCCTGGGCATGTATTTACATGTATAATGTTCTGTTCCAAGTACTGGTTAACAGAGTGAAATTGCCATCATTAGATTCTGTCCTTTGAGAGAAACTCTAAAAGGCCTCTAGAAGGTTCTGAGGAGAACTATATTTACATTTCCTAGCAAGAAAGGACCAGAACCATAAGAGTATCCACTAGCTTTTGTTTCTTAGCTAAGACTCTTCTCTCAAATAAACCAAACAGCAAAAGGCAGTAAGTACAACTCTGAGAACTCAGATGACTATGAGGCAGCTACATTTTAATACAAGAGGGAGGCCAGTGGGGAACACTGGAAGAATTGTTCAAAAGAGCCAAAGGGATCTCTGGTCTGGCATCAGCATCCAAGGGAGGAATTTGGAGACACTACAGGCATGAAAGATGTCCCTTCCAAACAAGATTGCCTTAGGTTGCTGGGTTCTTGATATTGCCAGTGAATCACTGTGAAGATGTAGATGTGATAGTAATTTGCAAATAATTCATAAGTTTCAGAGATTTCATATGGCTTTCCATTAATACTCCTAAGTTAAAGAAGAAAGTCATGCTGATTAAAAATTATGAGGATTCTCAGAGGCGATCATGCCTTTAGTTTATGCCATATTCTGCTCTTTCCTTTTGCCTAAATGTCATCAGGACACACAGCATATTCTATATTTTGCCTTAGGAAAGCATAGCTTCTTTTTAGAATTCTGAATATATGACAGTAGAAAGAAAAAATAGAGATTAAGTGTATTGCATAATCCACGATACAGTACCAAAAAAACAAAAAAAAAAAAAAAAAAAAAAAAAGCTAAGCTTGAATCCTAACTTGGTAAATCCTAATTCTCACACCTCCAGGTAGAATATCTCGAGATGGTGAATAAACACATGACAAAAAGAAAACCTATAATGCAATTCCTGTAAGTACTGTGGCAGCTACAGCAATCCTGATCTAAAGGCAAAGCTAATTTCACTGAAATTACAAGGTCTTTTTTCATTCTATCCCATCACCAACAGGAACAATTATTTATTTATTGCCAGCTATCACAGCAAAACATGGGGGAAAGTTTTCAATCAGCAGTCTTATTGCTTTGGATTATGATGCTGCTATACAAAGATAATAGCAACAATTAACATCCATATAGTCAACATTATTATGAAAACAGCAGCTTATAAAATGAACCAGTACTTACCATTATTATCAAATCCATGTGTAAATTCATGTCCAACAATTACTCCTATAGCACCATAACTCAGAGATCTGTGGCATAAAATACATAATTTGGAGAAAATTACAAGTATGAATCTCAGAGCATAATTTTTTAATTTTTCAATAAGGAGCCAAGATAATCTGTTTTCTCATAACCATGGTAATAACAATCTAATAATCATACCCATAAAAACTGTGAAAAAAATCTAAACACACTCTTTTGATTGAAATTTACAAAGAAAATATAAATTCTAACATTGTTATCATAACCACATATGAGCCTTAGTGCCCTACCCTGTAAAATTAAAGATACGAAACATATGATTTCTAAAATCCTTTCTAGCCCTAAGATTTTTTTGATTCTATATCTGTTCTAGCTATATTTTATATTTGTGAACACCTAAAACTGGACTTGAAAATATCCTGTCAGTAAATATGCTGTTTATTTTTTATCTGAAAACTTGTTGAAAAGTCACTGTAATCTTAGAAGTTAAATTGTTTTCCAAATGTAGTCATAATAAAAAACAAAGAATAGAGCAGAGATTAAAAGGGATCACTGTTTTCGAAGGTAGTCACATTTCTCTATTTCTGTGGCAGACAAGCTAACAATGGAATAGCAAAGATTATGAAGTCTTAACCAGATTTAGAAAAGGTGTTACATTAGTTCTCTTCACCTCTGAAGAAGCACATGGTTGATTATCTATAAAGGTGCCCACCAACAATTCCACCCACTCCTGAATGTGCAGGCTCCATTCTTCCATCAAGAGGCAATCTAGGGAACCAGCAGTTAGCGTAATGGCTATGTCGCTGGACTCCCACGTAGTCAACCGCGGTTCACGTCCCAGACCCGGTGGCTTAAAACTCATGCCGGGCACATGTGCATGTGTGCCCAAGATCCCGAGAGGAGAATGGAGAAGAGATTGCGGTGTGACCATCCCCCCTGGGGGGGTGATTTCTTGCTTTCTGTCTCTATGTCTCTCTCTGTCTGTCTGGCCCTTGTGTGAAAACCCCCCCCAAAAAAAAAAAAAAAAAAAAAAAAAGGCAATCTAGGGGCCAGCAGGTGATGTGATGGTTAAGGTGTTGGATTCTCATGTGGCTAATTACAGTTTAAGTCCCAGACCTGGCAGCTTGAAAATCATACTGGGGATGTGTGCATGTGTGCTCAAAAATTCAGAGAGGAGAATGGAGAAGGGATTCTAGTGTGACCATTGCTCCTAGAGGGGTGATTTCTCACTTTTCCTCTCTGTCTCTGTCTCTCTCCAGCAAGCACACACATCCTATGGCAATTAACTAAAAAGAGGCAATCTAGGGGCCAGATAGTTGTGCAATGGTAAAACACAATATGCTCTGTGATACAATCCCACATGGGAAAGTTCCTGGTTCATGTCTAGAGACCTCCCTGATTACACCAGGCATGTGTTTGCCCATGACCCAGGGCTGACTAAAAGAGGGGGATAGATCATGGCATGGAGACCCTATTGGAGATTCTCTCTCTAACTCTCTCTCTCTCTCTGTCATGGAAGTAAGAAACTTAAAAAAAAAAAAAAATGTAAAAAGAAGCAATCCATGTCCCTTCTCCTAAATCTGGACTGACTTTGGGATTTGCTGTGACCAACAAAGTGCAGTAGAAGGGACCAGGTATGAATTCTGGGTCAAGGCCTTAAAATACCTTGTATCCTCCACTTTCTACCCTCTTGGAAGTCAGGTGCAATATAAAGTTCATTGCTTAGCTGGAGGGAAAGA